AACAATAAATATTTTGTGAAAATAAAACAAATTATATTTTCACTTTACTTATAAATTATTTTATTTCATCAATGAATATTTTCAATAACATACAAATTTTCATTTGAATAATACAAAATTTTATTTTCATTCAAATAATACAAAATTTATTTTCATTCAAATAATACAAATTTTCATTTGAATAACATAAAATTTTATTTTCATTGAAATCATAAATATTTTACGAAAAGAACAAATTAATTTTCATTGAACTAATAAATTATTTAATTTTACTACTAAAATAACTTATTTTACTACTAAAATAATTTTCAACTTACTAATAAATAAATTCATTTTACTACTAAATTTTTTTCAATTTTCTAAAAAATTATTTTATTTTACTAATAAATATTTTTATGAAAATAATTCAAAATTTTATTTTTTCAATTAAATAATACTAAAATTTTATTTTTTCATTTAAATCATAAATATTTTCAAAACAATTTATGTTTTTCACTTTAATAATTAATATTTTTTGCGAAAAATTATTTTTATTTAATTCATTTCTTTTCATTTAACAAATAAATAAATAAACGAAGAAGAAGAAAAGAAACATATAACGTAATTTTATATTTTTTTCTTTTCTGTGAAGCGAAAGAGTAAAAGAAAATTTCTTTTTTTTGTTCATTTATTTCAAAGTATAGAAAAAGAAACGAACAAAGAAAAAGCAATTCACAAGTCTTATTCAATAGAAAATCGTTGAACACGATTATTATTATTATCGACAACATAGAGATTACCATATCGATCGAAAGACAAATCAACGAGGTAGTTGAGCTGATTTGCTCCTGCTCCTGAACCATTTCCACCCACAATTACAGTGCCTTGTTTCTTGTCTCCTTGAGTCCAACGTATTACACGATGATTCCACGAGTCTGCTACATAGAGTGTACCCAACGTATCAACAAAGATTCCTTGAGGATAAGACAATTGTGTCAGAGCACTCGTGAGGCCTTGTCCTCCAGCGACCACAATACCTTCTTTTGCACCTTCCACCCATTTCATCACACGATGATTATCTCTGTCTGATACGTACACTGAATGATCTCGATCGACAAAGAGATATGCCGGCTTGTTAAGTTGATTGAGACCATCACCTTGTCCATTACAACCAGCTACGAGAGTGCCATTCTTATCACCCAATTGATATCGTCTTACTTCATGTTTTTGCCAGTCAGAGACGTAGAGATATATCTGATCATCCATTGCTAATCCCCAACAGAAGATGTCGTCGATGAGTATTTCTCCTTGTGTTGTACCACTACGACGAGACCATCGTACAACTCGTCGATTCCCTTGATCACAAATAATGAGACTATCCATCTCTTTGTCAATTAATACATCAAGTGGACCATACAATTGATTCAATCCTCCTCCTTGACCATTGCCACCAGCAATAACTTGTCCATTCGTTGTATCCCCGTTCTTCCATTGCATGATACGATGATTCCGCTGATCAGCAATGACCACTGTTTGATCATCATCAACGAAGAGACCAAAAGGGCCTCTGAGTTGATTAGTGGCATCCCCATCCTCGTTACCTCCAGCAATAGTCACTCCGTTCTGCTTCCATGTAGCATTAGCAGGAATATTAACTAGAAGACAAAACGTATAAGAATAAAAGCAGATCTTTCTCTCTCTCGAAAGTATCGAGGTAAAATTCTTTCGAATAGATCATTCTTTCTTTCTTTTTGCTAGAAATTCCTCAGAATAATCTATATACTGAAAGATTATTATATAGCACAAGAATATAGAGTTCTCTCTAATGCTCTTTTTTCTTGCATCAAAATAGTTCTATATTTTGCTTTGTATTTTTTGAGACTCTATATTTTCTATGAACATATATGAGCTTATCATATGCGTACGTTGTTGTATTATTTTCCTATCTTGAGGATGTCAATTTACAGTTGATTTAAATTTAAGTTCGTGAAAAGTTAATTTAATTCAAAATTGCTACGAGGG